AAATCGTAGCGAAAGAGATTATGTATTATATTTGTCTTCTCAAATAATTTCTTCCTCTCATTTGTTTGGGATGTTTAATCGAACACAGAATTCATAAGAAGATTATTACATACATACAGATATATAAGCCCTAACGATGTTAATAATGATAGAAATTGAAAGAGAGAGTATACTGATGATGTCAATGTAAAATGAAAAAAGAAAAGATTTCTCACGCTAAAATACATGGCAAATGACCAAAAGGAAAATGATGCAACGGGTGATTTATATTGATTGGGTGCACATTTTTTATTCCTGCACCACTTCCACAATTCCACTTAAACGAAAATTTAATTTGACGATTTACTACGACACAGGGAACTAAAGTAAAAAGATGGAATAAAAATTTCTGAAAATGGTCAAAATTATTTAATCTAATTAGACAAGGATTAGGATTTAAACTTCAGCCGTTAGAAAATCCGGGTAGAAGTGATCCAAAATTTAGACGGCAAGGACTTAGATCCCGTTTGGACATAAGAATTTTTTCATTTTTCTTAGAAAATTTTTAACTTTTTTTCGAAATCTTTGTTTGTCCATAAAATTTCAATTTTCACTTGAAAATGAATTTTGAAATTTTTAGAAAATTTAAAAAACTTCAAAAAGCTATTTTCAAAATTTTCACTCAGATCATTCACAAAAATTCAAAGGCAACCCAAAATTATATTCATCTCCAAACACAACTCTAATATTCAAATACCATTTTTACTTGATTTTTTCTTACTTTTTTTTTTAAAAAAAAATTTTACAATTCTCATGTCCAAATGCCCACTTAATTGATTTGTACCAAAATTTAACGGACCGTAAAAAGGGTCTATTTCGAATAGGTTAAGGGTATTTTGTCCTTTCCCGTAAAAACAAACAACGCATACTTCATTACAAAAATAACTATTATTTTGTCTCTTTGGAAGGAGAAAAAAAACAACCAAATTGACTCTCTTCTAAAATTAGATCTTCGATTCACGCAAATGATCAAGGTTTACATCAACTTATGATCGATATTTTCTTAGTGATCATTATCATTTAGAGCTAGCTAGACCAAAAATATATCGATGCCACTCGTAATCATTCAATCTTGATTCCCAGTTATTTTTATGACATGACTCAACTGAAAAATCAAGAGGTAAGCACTTTGTTTGAAGTGTAAACATGCTATTACATTTTTGTTGGGACGTCCTCATCTAAAGTACATTGACGCAAGAAATTTAACAAAGTAGTTAAAAGCCATTTGCTTATCCCTTAAATGCAGGCTGTCAATTCTTTAATTCCCAACGCCGAAAAAAGAGGACAAATTTATTTACTGTATTTGGTCAACCCCTTCAAGAATTTCCATATATCATGTGTTCCTTCTTTTCTTGTTCTTGTTTAATTTTCATAGCACCATGTTTCAGTAGTGGATAATGTAAAATATACTGGCGAAAACTACTAAAATTTCAATAAATATTAATTTCTGAACTCATAATTTCGAATCTAGAATATTTAGTTCAGCTTTAAAAACTTTAAATACTGAACTTATTCAGTTTAAATTCTAAATCTGAATCCATGTTGGCCTATGTATTTAGGAGAGTGCATGTTGTTTGATTCAAAAGATATCGGAACCTTTTTGAATATATAAATCAATCAAAGAAAATGAAGGGGTAAATCTTGTACAATTAGGGGTCGTTTGGTATGCAAGATAAGGTGTGGGAGTAAAGTTATATCGTATTTTGGTGACGATATAAATTTATCCTGAAATAAATTTATACTGCCAATCAAACATGATATAAATTTAATGCCAAAATTAATCCTGGATATCCTACCTCATTTCACCTTATCTCATCAAACTTGGGTTTATTTTATTTTACCTTCCAAGTAGGATAAATTAGTCCAAAAATTATAATTTCAAAATTATAGTCCCGGGATAATTTAGTTCACCTACCAAACTACCTAGTTCTCATTTAAGGACTAGCAAACATAATCCTATGGACCATACATTTTAAGTTCTTTAGCAATTCGTTTGATATTTATTACTCCTACCTATATTACTTGGAATTTAGCTTGTTAGATTAGCTTTATATCAATAATTGTGTCATCGCAGTCAGGATCAGTACTGCAGTGCAATTTGCATTATTTTTAGGTCTATTTTTTTTCTCTTAGTAATATTATAAGTTGCCTAAAATAGAAAAATGGTGGCGTCACAGTGTGTGGGAGAAGGAAGCACGTAGCGGAGCAGCTGCCATAAATGCCGACAAGTTCCCTCTCTTCCCACCGTTTTACTTTCCTTCCTTTGTTTCCTCATTTTGAAGCACAACCGTTCCTTCCCATTTTTCTTTTGCTCTTTGTCCCTTATATCCGCACACTGTTTGCTGGGACTACAATGTCCATTCTCGATATTATATTTGTCTTTGAAACTAAATGGATAGTCAATTTATGAACTTAATCAATCGCTAGTTAGAAATTTTTTAAGTTTTATGCCCCATATAATTAGTAAGTAAATTGTGTTTAGGTGGGATAAGTGGACCTTTGACTCATAGGGAAATTTTACACGGCTCAAAGAAGGCAAAGCAACAACCAACAACAATAAACCAGTGTAATCTCACATAGTAGGATTTGGGGACGGTAGAGTGAAGGTTAGTGGCTGTTCCCATAGATCCCGGCTCAAAGAAAAATGAAAAAGAAGCAGAAATAACAATTGAAACATCAGCGAGATAGGTGATAAAGTGATCACTTTCGTACTTTCTGTAAGATAGTTTGTTATTCAAGTTGGGAAGTGGGTTGATCCCACATCGGAACAGAGAAGGCAGTTTTGAAGCCTTTTAAGCACTTGTCCATTTTATGTCTTTGATTTAGGACACATACTTTTAAGTGTGTGCAATTAAGTACACTATATATTTATATATTATAATCAAAGACTTGGACTTAGGCTTGGGGCTTGGGCGCGGACCGGGTCGGATCCTAAAATTAATTATTTTATTTTGTGACTGAAAAATTAAATTTATTTGAATTTTAAATTCAAAATTCTAATAAATAGTTATGTATGTTATGAAAGGGTCCAACCGAATATGACTGTTTGTGAAACAAGACATCTTTTCTGAAAGGGTCTGTTGGCTGCCTATAAATACACAAGAATTTCCAACGAAGTAGTATAGAAAATCACAAGTCTTATTTCAGGCTTTGTTGTATCCTAAAGAGAATCGTTTTGTATTTCCCTAAATTAGTATACAAGCGATAACTCTTTAAGGACAGTCGATTTTCACGCCTCAAAGCCATTTTTGTTTATTATTTTCTAACACTTTCTTCTTTTTACCACGGATAGGTCAGCGAAGCCTGAGCGGGCGCGGAGAAGGAAATGTTGAACTTTAAGCATTGGGCTTTAAAGACTTTAAGTATTGGAGTGTGAATTGGGAAATGGTGGGAAATAAAATGGAGGGAAATGAAAATTTGAATCAAGTGAGCTTTTGTCATGAACTTTGTACCACATTGGTGAAAGACAATTACACTTGTGTGTATAAATATAGGATCACTTCTTAGAGCTCTTAAAAGGAGTTGAAGAGAATGAACCCTCGCGCCGTCATCGTCGCTCGCTCGGCTCGGCTTCGGCTTCGGATTTGTCAAATGATCGATAAAATTATTTTTTGGACAAAATTTATTTAATTAATTATTTAATAATTAATTAAATGCCAGATCACTGCTGAAGATTCAGAAGTATAGTCTGGCCGCGGTCCTGGCGTAACCGCGGTAGGACCGCGCCAGAACCCTTCTGCAGATTCAGAGGACCACTCTGGCCACGGTCCTGGTGTAACCGCGGTAGGACCGCGGCGGGCGGCAGAAACTTCTGAAAAGGCACCTTTTCCAGAACAAACATCACACCTCTTCCAATAATTGCCTATAAATTCTGAGGCATGGCTTCAGTTTTGAGATACCAAAAACATTACAGAACTTCCTTCTTTCTGAAAATACTGCATCCTAATTCGCAGTCTCTCTCTCTCTCAAATTCGTAAGTGTGATTTTGCTTCGTTCTTTGAGTTCGTTGGTATCCTGCAGTTTGTATTGCCACTGTTGCAGGAATGTTTATTCCGTTTCATCCTGAGAGGATTTAATCCATTACTTTGGCAACGTGTGAGGGGGTTAAAATTCCTTAAGGACGCACAAACAAATTGTGGACTCGGAATATTTCTTATAGTTTATATATTCTATTTCTTCTTCCTCTTGTTTTTTCCTTAACAGTGTTGATTTTGGTTAATACACGTTGCCTAACAGCTTAAGGAATTTTAGTAAAATCCGGCAGCGTGGTTTTGCACTGTTATTGCTGCGTTGGTTCTTGCATTGTTATTGCTGCGTTTTCTGGACTACAGCGGGTCTTTGTGTTTAATTGTGTTTGCTGCAGGTTTTGTTTAAATTCTGCAGGTGTTTGTCTAATTTTGAAACGATTTAAAGGAAAAAAAATNTTCTTGCATTGTTATTGCTGCGTTTTCTGGACTACAGCGGGTCTTTGTGTTTAATTGTGTTTGCTGCAGGTTTTGTTTAAATTCTGCAGGTGTTTGTCTAATTTTGAAACGATTTAAAAGAGAAAAATATTGTGATTTGGAATAAAGGAAAAAGGAACATCGTTTACTGCCGCTTCATATTTTGTTGTTCCTTGAAATTTGTTTTGTTTAAAAATAAAGGAAAAAGTAACAAAATCGTTTACTGTTGCTTCTATCCAATTTGGTTTCAATCGTTTCTTGCTTCTGATTGGTTAAAACTGTTATCTATATTTTGTATACTGGTTTGGAGACTAAAGCCTTCGTGCTTTCTACTCCAATAATTATTCTGTTTGGTTTAAAGTATAACAAAACTTTACCGGAATAAGAAACGTAGGGGTTTGAAGTATATAAAAACTTCACCATTATTACGTGTTGTGTGTTTGGTTTGGTATTCAGTTTGAAGATATTAACGCTTCACTGATTTAACAAAGTTCTGTTTGTTTCCAACTCTACAGAAACATGTCGAATGAAAACCAAACTAATGAAAATGTTGCGGGAACGGGTGCTACTATTACGAGTGTTGCTGCCTCGTCAAGCCGTTCAACTCCTGCTCATGCTATGGCACCAGCAGAAAAACCCGGGAAAGTTTTCCGGTATTGACTTCAAACGTTGGCAAATGAAGATGCTCTTCTATCTGACTACGTTGAGTTTGCAGCGATTCATCAAGGAGGATCCTCCGGTCCTGGCTGAAGGCACTCCGGATGACGAACGATTTGTGGTAACTGAAGCATGGAAACATTCTGATTTCTTGGGCAAAAACTACATTTTGAGTTGTTTGGAAGATAGCTTGTACAATATCTATAGTGTCATGGAAACTTCAAAAACATTACGGAATGCGCTTGAGAAGAAGTACAAGACTGAGGATGCCAGCCTTAAGAAGTTCGTAGCTGCAAGTTTTTTGGATTTCAAGATGATTGACACTAGGTCGGTCATAACTCAAGTCCAAGAATTACAAGTCATTGTGCATGATCTCCTTACTGAAGGTATGACCCGAATCAATAATTTTATTAATAAGATTTATCGTGTTATTAATTATGAATTTATTATTGAAGGTATGGTCATAAATGAGGCATTTCAAGTTGCCGCTTTCATTAAGAAGTTACCTCCGTTGTGGAAGGACTTTAAGAACTATCTAAAACACAAGCGGAAGGAGATGACACTTGAAGACTTGATTATTCGTTTGAGGATAGANCAACTAAACAAAAAGATCAAAATGATAAGAAGTGATAGGGGTGGCGAATATGAATCTCCTTTTGAAGAAATATGTTTGGAAAATGGCATTATTCACCAAACAACTGCCCCTTACTCTCCACAATCTAATGGAATTGCGGAGAGAAAGAATCAAACGTTGAAAGAGATGATGAATGCGTTGTTGATAAGCTCTGGTTTACCACAGAACTTGTGGGGGAAGCAATACTTACAGCTAACCGAATAATCAACTGTGTACCTCGTAGTAAAACACAGTCCATTCCTTATGAAAAATGGAAAGGAAGGAAGCCCAACTTGAAATACTTCAAAGTGTGGGGGTGTTTAGCTAAGGTACAAGTTCCTAAAACTAAAAGGGTTAAGATAGGTCCAACAACGGTTGATTGTGTATTTATTGGATATGTAACCAATAACAAGGCATATCGTTTTCTGGTTCATAAATCAGAAAATCCTGAGATTCACGTTAATACGATAATAGAATCAGATAATGCTGAATTCATTGAAACTATTTATCCGTATAAAAAGGAAAGTGAATTGACCTACCAAAAGTCAAAACGACCTCGGGAGGAAATAATAAATGGTATGCCAAATGAGGAAAATCCGAGAAGAAGTAAACGTCAATGGACATCTACTTCATTCGGTCCAGATTTTCTGACTTTCCTGCTAGAAAATGAGCGTCGTACCTTCAAGGAAGCAATGTCTTCCTCAAAAGCACAATATTGGAAAGAAGTTGTCAATAGTGAAATAGAATCCATATTGAGCAACCATACCTGGGAATTGGTTGATCTTCCTTCAGGTAACAAAACATTGGGTTCTAAATGGATTTCAAAGAAGAAAATAAAAGACGATGGTACTATTGACAAATACAAGGCAAGACTTGTTGTAAAAGGACTAAACAGCGAGAAGGTCTTGACTATTTTGACACATACTCGTCGGTAACAAGAATTACATCCATTCGGATGCTGATAGCATTAGCCGCCTTGTATGGTCTTCAAATCCATCAAATGGATGTAAAAACTGCCTTCTTAAATTGTAATCTAGAGGAAGAAATTTACATGAACCAACCTGAAGGGTTTGTGGTTTCGAAAAAAGAAAAGAAGGTGTGTCGACTTGTTAAGTCCCTTTATGGACTAAAACAAGCACCTAAGCAATGACATGCGAAATTTGACCAAACAATGTTGTCAAATGGCTTTAAGATTAATGAATGTGATAAGTGTGTTTACATTAAGAACATTCCAAATCATATAGTAATTGTTTGCTTATATGTTGATGATATGCTAATAATGAGCAAAGACATTGCCGACATTCAAGCTACTAAGCGTATGCTTGCTAGTAAGTTTGATATGAAAGACTTAGGAGTTGCCAATGTAATTCTAGGAATTAAAATCCAGAGGACTCCTCAGGGTCTAGCTTTGTCTCAATCACATTACGTGAAAATAGTACTTGAAAAATTTAAACACTTGGAATTTAGAAGTGCAAGAACTCCAATTGACTTAAACCGTCATCTTATAAAGAATAAAGGTGAAAGCACGTCTCAATTGGAGTATGCTCGTGTATTGGGAAGCTTAATGTATATCATGAACTGTACACATCCTGATATAGCTTGTGCAATAAGTAAACTTAGTCGATTCACAAGTAATCCCAACAAACATCATTGGGTGGCAATGAAACGAGATTTGGGATATTTGGAATATGCATAAGACTACGCTTTACATTACAATAAATATCCTGCGGTTATCGAAGGATATAGTGATGCGAATTGGATAACCGGCTCAACAGAAACAAAGTCTACAAGTGGATATATTTTTATTGTTGGTGGAGGAGCAGTATCTTGGAAGTCTTCCAAACAGACGTGCATCGCTCGCTCTACAATGGAATCAGAGTTTATAGCTTTGGATAAGGCCGACGAAGAAGCAGAATGGCTTCGAAATTTCTTAGAAGACATTCCGTTCTGGCCAAAACCTTTGGCTCCTATATGCATACATTGCGATAGTGAGGCTGCAATAGGACGGGCAGGGAACGTTATGTATAACGGAAAGTCACGTCATATACGACGAAGACATAACACCGTTAGACAACTACTTTCTAGTGGAATTATCACTATTGATTATGTAAGATCAAAGGATAATGTGGCGGATCCGCTTACAAAAGGCTTAACTAGAGAGGGAGTTGAGAAATCATCTAAGGGAATGGGACTATGGCCGAGGACAAGTCAACATGGCGGTAACTCTACCTAGAATTTTGGATGTTCCGAGATCTAGGTTCAAGGAGCTCAAACAAAGTTGTGATTGACCGGTTCAACATTGTCAAAATAAAATCTTTGGTCCCTTCTCGTGATGAAGACAATGTTCAGTAACAAGGATAGAACTTTACACGTTCTTTAATGATTACCTAAGTTTGATGTGGTATTTATCAAATAGTGTCAATCTAGAGGATTACATGTTTAGGAATCACCTATGTAAGTGTGAAGTGGAAGCCGCTTCAATGAGAATTCTGTAAGGCCAATTCTCTACGCATTTATGAAACCAGGAGGTGTTCATGGCTGAAACGAACACAACAATGAGAACCAAAAGACGGTTAAGGGTTGATTGTGAGACATATGGTTGTCTAGGTATACACTAAAGTTCGACGGTTCAAAAATATCAAATCTACCGATTGACCGAGTATATCCGACATATGTTCACTACGGAAAGTTCAAAGGGAAACCTACTTATCCAGATGCAATTAATCCTTACTTGCAAATCACACAACTTTCGTCGATGATCATTCTTGTTACAGTCATTCCCATTCATGTGGGGGATCCGGAGCGGGAGATTGTGGTTTCGAGTCCCACCGTGATCGCCACTGTTAGGCAACGTGTATTAACCAAAATCAACACTGTTAAGGAAAAAACAAGAGGAAGAAGAAATAGAATATATAAACTATAAGAAATATTCCGAGTCCACAATTTGCTTGTGCGTCCTTAAGGAATTTTAACCCCTTCACACGTTGTCAAGGTAATGGATTAAATCCTCCCAGGATGAAACGGAATAAACATTCCTTCAACAGTGGCAATACAAACTGCAGGATACCAACAAACTCAAAGAACGGAACAAAATCACACTTACGAATTTGAGAGAGAGAGACTGCGAATTAGAATGCAGTATTTTCAGAAAGAAGGAAGTTCTGTAATGTTTTTGGTATCTCAAAACCGAAGCCATGCCTCAGAATTTATAGGCAATTATTGGAAGAGGTGTGATGTTTGTTTTGGAAAAGGTGCCTTTTCAGAAGTTTCTGCCGCCTAACTATACTTCTGAATCTTCAGTAGTGATATGACATTTAATTAATTATTAAATAATTAATTAAATAAATTTTGTCCAAAAAATAATCTTATCAATCATTTGACAAATTCGAAGCCGAAGCCGAGCGAGCAACGACGGCGACGCGAGGGTTCATTCTTTTCAACTCCTTTTAAGAGCTCTAAGAAGTGATCCTATATTTATACACACAAGTGTAGTTGTCTTTTACTAATGTGGTACAAAGTTCATGACAAAAGCTCACTTAATTCAAATTTTCATTTCCCTCCATTTTATTTCCCACCATTTCCCAATTCACACTCCAATGCTTAAAGTCTTTAAAGCCCAATGCTTAAAGTTCAACGGAAAAGGCCAATGGAGATAAAATAATCGAAACAAATGAATGAAACAAGGCAAAGATCTACCCAAAAAGAAGAAAAAAAAACACAAAATCCGGACCCCAGATATAAATGGTAAAGAGCTTTGTCTAAATTAACCACACTAATTAAAACCTTAGAGCTTCAAAAATAAAGATTAATTTTAATAAGATACAATGGAATTTAGTTTTTCCAAAGGTACAGGCTTTTTGCAGGTGTATAAGACGTCACTAAACTGAAATACTGAGCAGACACGCCATCTTATTTTCCATTCTCGTGCTTACTCTAAAGTAATTTCAGTGACCCTTCACTTTTACCTCCATTGGCAAAAAAATGTTCTGATTGCCAGGGAGGAGCATTCATGTTTGATGCTCTCCCCCTAGGGAGCACATGTTTTACTATCCCAACTCCAGTAAAAATCCATCTTTTTACCCCTCCCATTAATTACCTCACATAAAAGTTAAAGAAAATAATGGAGTATTAGGGTTTTGAGAGAGAGAAAATTATATAAGCAAGAATCAAGTTAAAAAGACCATCTTTTTTATTCTTTATCTTTTGCAGGTTGGGTAATTTATGTCCACACCTTAGCTCTTTCTCTTATCTTCTCTTCTGATCATCATCTTTCTCATCACTAATCATTTTCAGTCTCTTTTTTCTCTCCCTTTGTCCCCTCCCTCTCACTGTCTAATTCTTTTATATACAACCCCACTTTAGATCTATTTTCTTTGAGGGGTGATGTAGATTTNATGAAGAACATGAGGAGCAAGAAGAGGAAATTGGAAATATTCACCAAATATCATCAGCTGCGGCAAATGTTAATTTCCAAACACAAGGAAATAATTCAGTTAGAGGAGTTGAAGAAGGGGTTTCAACTACTGTTAGAAAAAGTAGTGTTAGGTATAGAGAGTGCTTGAAAAATCATGCCGTGGGTATAGGTGGACATGCTGTAGATGGCTGTAGAGATTTTATGCCCGCCGGTGAAGAAGGTATTAATGTTAAAGCATATGACTATCTCATTTATAAGCTTAAATTGTTAGAAAATGTATAGTTTTAATTGCTAATTACATTTGTCTTAACACATCCTTCACGTGTGATTTCTTAGTCACTTACTTATATTATGTCGCAACAGGTACTATGGATGCTTTGAAATGTGCAGCCTGCAATTGCCACCGGAATTTCCACCGGAAAGAGGTTGAAGGAGAGGTATTCCACCATACCCCACCACCCCACCTAACCCACCACCACCCCCAACCCCATCATTCCCACCATCCCCAATTTTCTCCCTACACTTCCTACCGAACCCCTCACCACCCATCTGGGTACCTACACGTCAACCCACCACCCCATCAAAGACCCTTAGCACTACCATCAACTTCTAGAGAAGATGAAGATATGTCGAACCCGAGTAGTAGTGGGGGTGGGGGAAGTGGTGGGGTGGGTGGTTCATCAAGAAAGAGGTTTAGGACAAAGTTCACAGCAGACCAAAAGGATAAAATGTTGGCATTTGCTGAAAGATTGGGGTGGCGTATGCAAAAGCAAGATGAGGCATTAGTGCAGCAGTTTTGTGCCGAGACAAATGTTCAGCGCCATGTTTTCAAAGTTTGGATGCACAACAACAAGCACACTCTTGGTAAAAAACCCTAAAAACATTTTCTTGATCACTATTTTGCTTTTCACCTTTTTATGGCTAATTAAAAAGAAAACATCTATTTGATGGAGGAGCAAAATGGGAAGACGGCAGCTAGCTAGATATAATATCACTAGCCAAGGATTTGTTGTAAGAGGTTACTTAATTAACTTTTTGTTAGGGTTAATTCCTAGCTAGACATTTTTAGTCACCTTGGTTTTTCTTTATTTATTCTCTTTATGAAATTCCATTTGTCCACTTTAAATTCCATCTGATTTTTTTTGTACGTGTTCTTGGGGCATTTTCTGTGCAATTAATGATGATTTCTAGCTAGTAGGTCAACCATTGCACATTTCTTCGTGTTAATCTTGATATTTATTAAATCTTGTAAAATATTATGAAGCTATATATGTGTTTCTTTTTGGCATTTTCTTGATACATCAGCTAGCTAGATTGTTAGTACTATTATCGTATGATCAGATTGGTGAATGAAGAATTAAGGGATGAATTTGTGGGAAGAAAAATTGGTACGTGTTCAACATGCAAAGGTTACAGTTTGTAAGTCGGGTTTATTTTCCCCATATTCTGTCAATATTTCTCTTCTTCACATGCTCCATTGCGGGCGGGCTTAATTACTTTTAGCACTCTTCAAAGCTTTTGTTTTGTTTTCCATACTGCAGAATTAAATTCCTTCTCAACTTGCTCTTTCATTTACATCTGCATTTTGTTTTTCAATAGTCTTAAAAGATAAGATTATACTCCTACATGGTTATTAAAAGCTGCTGTGCTGACCTTGGCTGCAAAGTGCAAACAAATTTATAGCATAGGGTATTACTAGTTCTTCAATACTCACCTTATTTCCTCCTTCATCTACCTTCTTAATAAATACCCCTTTCTCTGCTTTCATGGAAGGAGAATTTTTTTTTTTAAAGCTAGAGTAGAAAGGTAAATTAGCTCATTCAAATGCTATGTTGAAAGATTATACCGTGTATAAGATAAAATATTACTTGTTATTGATTAAAAATAGACTTTGAACAATCTTGCGTAGTCCATTGGCAAAGGTTGTTCAAATTTTAACATCCTTATTGAATTTTATGGTTTCGTCACTACTGTATTAGTAGAGTTTATAATAGGATCGTAGGATGGTCTTAAATATCTTACTTTTAAGTGGTATCGCTTCTTCATGCATTTGGTAGTTAAAAAACTTATTCACTTCTATGGAGCATCTTAATTCCGTAAGCTATATTACATTGTATATGTGAGTGTTTATGGGGTTTGAATCTTCCTAACTTATATTGTTTACATGTGTTTACCCTTAAAACAGATAACCATTAAATTTATACGTGGTTTTAAGGACATGGATTGATTCAATACAAATAATTAAGAATATCCAATTGTAATATCACGGCCCGATTCAAATCCAGATTGAACAATAGTTTTACCTTCGATCGGACCCTTGGTTCGAAGTCAGTTATGAACGAAGAAACAAGCAGTAAAATAAGAATTTTGCAATAGCTAAAGAGCATAAAAATAAATTTGTATTGCCTTGATTTGTGTGTTACAACGTGTGTTATCAAATAAAAGCTTTCCCTTTATATAGTAGGGGAGTTTCATCGCTAGTACAAATCTAAAAAGGGTAAAAATCTTCCTCTTTCATTAGCTACTGATCCGTAACCGGCATCGAGTGGGATTCGCGCTATGATATCCGGTCGGTTATAAATATCACAACCCTCTATCTGTTGTGTGCAACCGTTCATTGTGTTTTTCGGAGTCTCAGAACTCGTTTTGGGTCCGGGGATGGTTTATCACGCCCGACGATGAGCATATTATTCACTTTTCATGGATCTCGGTACGAAAGGCTTCCAGTCTCGATTTCAACCTTGTGTGCCCATGCCCTTCTTCCATCTTTGCCTCCGGGACGTCTGGATATGCATTGTCCCCGATATTACTCGTATATATACAACATGCATGAATCAGCAATAACATTACACTACGTCTAGTACTTCCAAACAAGTATATTTCAATAGTGTCAAGACATCCTATATGACTGTGTATGTGTAATTGTACCCCACGGCAGAGAAAATTAAATGACCTCCTGTGGTCATTTACAATTTGAATAGATAATGATTCAACTTAAATAGAAGAAAAATAATTATATAAAGATGTATTCTGTCTTATTTATAGATCTTTTATAAAAATGATTATATATAACTAAACTAATATTCGTAAAAAACCTACAAAACCAAATCTCCATCTGAGGAGAGGAAGTAGTTGCTATGTACATTGTGCTAGTGGCTGCATGTTGAAGTGAGGATAATCTCATCTAAAAGCTTAACCTATTTGAGAGAGCACACTTCTAATTACTTAATTCTATGACATTTTAATACGGCCCCTCACGCAAATTCTTCCTTTTTTCCCATAATGGATGGAAGTGAGATTCGAACCTAGAATTTCTAATACCATATAAAAGTATATGACCATCTAATTTAACAGTTTAACAAGTATATAATGAAATAACTAGAAGACACTAACATAATGTTATCAATAAATATTGTGGATAGGAGTTGAATTTACATGGATGAACTGGGGAATTTCTAAGTTATGTTGGAGAAAGACTGGTCTAGTCAAGAAACTGTCGGAAAAATTATCACAAGATCGGTCTCATGTTGCTTTATTCCATTCCAGTATAAACATGTGGGGGCTGTTTCTTTCTTCCCAAAACAGACATTAATAATTCCTGTGTTCTGATATATTACAGCTCATTTTCTAATATGTGGTCGTCTTTCAATAGTGTGTCCTGTCCAATATCTTTTCGTGTTCATAATCTTTAAAAATGAACCCCATTAACAAACTTCATGAAATTATTTTCTTTAACGTTTTCAAGTAAAGAGTACAAGTAGGCCATGTGAATATGGTGTATTTAAGATAATGATGCTTTTTTATTCGCATCATATTGTCTATATATATGTAGGAATATTGCTCTGCTAAAAAAGGAAAAAAATTAAAGTAGATTAACTGCGGCTTTGAACTCTCGACTTTTGGATTAGTGATACCCTTTGGACATATCTAGATGCATTACTATTTAAAGGGAAAGAGACAAAATAAAATACTTAGAAGAGAAATAAAAGCTACTAGCTCAAAGAAGTAAGTCACAGAACGGATTATGACATTTTTAGTAGCATTATAATTAATGTAGTTTGGTCGTTTTAAGGATAGCTAGCATCCATTGATTTGTCTATAATCATGATGATTAACTGTTGTTTCGTTGTGCTCTGTCGGCTTTTAGGGTTTTGGGAAGCTTAAAGGGAATTTGGATCCACAACACTATTTCACCTAGTAAATGAAGTGAAAATATTTGTTTGAAGTCAATTAGCTAAAAAAAAAAGTATGAATCCTTCCAATTTCCACAAAATGTGCCCGTTTTGTCTTTTTATTTTTTATTTTTTAAAAGCTCCCTAGACAGAGATCTGGGCGTTGTATTGCAAAAAATGATCAGTGAGGGGGGGCTAGGCCTTACCACGTAAACATAATACAATATGGTGATTTCTATCACGCCCAAAGATGGAATCTACCACTCTACTGTCATAACTATATACATCAAACTCAACTAACAAAAAAGTTGTTCTTCTCATATTTTGTTCTAATACTAGGCATTTGCCACTTATCCATAATGAAGGGGCCTTTAGCTTCTTTTGGTAGTTGATCGAAGACATATCAAATTCGTGTCAGAAATGGAGGCAATTTTAGCTAAAGCATCAGCTACATGATTGCCTTCTCTATAACAGTGTTGGACCGTTGCATTTTTATGTTGAACCAATCTTGTAATTCTATCCACCACCATCTTTAATTTCATTCTCTTGTTTCCTTCTTGGTTGACAATGTTCACTATGATATTTGAGTCAAGTTTGAGAACAAAATTAGTGTAGCCTAACTAGTTACACCATTTTCCTCCGAACTCAGCAGCTAGAGCTTCGGCCATGTTATGACTGTCACAATCAACCGACATTGCAAGTGCCATGATACAATTACCATCCCCATCTCTGATGATTCCTTCTATACCCGCTTTCCCACTTTTCTTGATGTAGCTTCCATCTGTATTAACTTTGATCTTGTCATGGAGCGGCATATGCCACTGAACTTGCTTCCATGTCTGGACAAGTTTCAACCATTCAATTCTGCTGCAAAGAGAAGGCCAGTGGTGTTGAATGTCTCCATTTGGCATAAGCTTGGTTACTATTGAGGTTATGTTCCATAAAACCTTGGCGTTTCATGATATTGAGTTGGAATTTTATTTGCGTGCCATATCTACATGAACTTCTTTGTTTCCAAATTTTCCAGCAAATAAGAGTTGGTGTAGCTTGTAGAACCAGGCCATGAATTTTATTCTTTGGTTTTGCCTCCCACCAGTTCTTGAAAACCGCCGCAATAGGTGCATTTGGGTGAGTAATACCCAATGGGCTGGCAATATTCTTCCATATATGCATCGCATCTTCACTTTCCACGAAAACATGTTGCATGGATTCCACCTGTGGGACACTACAACAAGAACATCTCAAAGCTATGTTAGTACCAAACTTACTAATCATGTTATCAAAAGACAATTTTTTTTTCATAATTCTCCAAGTTAGAAAGGACATTTTAAAAGGAATTGCGTGATGCCAAACATTCTTTAAAAAATTATTTTTTCTGTTTTTTAACCAGATTAAGTGCCACGCCGATTTATTTGAGAAATTTCCGTCATTCGACAAGGTCCAAATAGGGAAATCATCTTCCAAATCATTACCTATATCAATTTTACAAATAAAATCAGTGATGTGAGAAGTAAGAACCTGATTTAACCTGTTGATGTTCCATTGCCCATTTGTTAAGAAATCTTTAACTTGGATCTTGGCCGATTTTCTGATACCTTGGACCGGGTGAGCAAGCGGGTCTTCACGAGTCCAATTATCCTACCAGAAGCTTGATGAACCATTTTGAATGCTCCATTTAATGTGAAATTCCACCTTGTGCCTGGTCTTTAACGGGTTTTTCCGACTATGCGAATCTGCCGAAGTCATGGTTTTACTTACCGAGTGAGATCTAATGCAGTGTTTGTCTCTGAGAAAGGTGGCCCATAGAGAGTTCGGCATTCTAAACCTTCACCATCTCTTAATACTGAAAGTATCAATTACATCTTGCATCTTCCTAATTCCAATGCCACCTTCGTCTTTGGGAAGATACATATTATGCCAAAAACTTCAATGGTATTTGTTTGACCCATTTGTCGAACCCTAGAAGAAGTTTGCA